TATAAAATTATATAATGTTTTCAAGTTTCTGGAGAATCTTCTCGTTGTTTGTAGTATAATGTAAATGAATCTGTTTAGTGATGCAAATTGCTGTTATGGAGTAGTGCAATGGGTTCTTATCCGGTTAGCTTGTTAAAATTCAATTTACCTTGAATAACTCATCTTTCAAGATAATTTCAGTCGACACAGCTGTAAATGTGTACTAATTAAGTCATCTTTCCTCAATATTCAAATCAATCCAGTTTTAAATTGATGCGAATGATCAGTGAATTCCTAGAAGTTTGGTTAGGGACCAGCTATTAGGTTTGATCTTCGTGGTCTTAATTTGCCATCCTTTTTGTTCTATGTAGTAACGGTGTGTCCTAACAGAGTAGACCTATCAAATTCTTATAGTCTGCATTCCCTTTTGCATTTTCTATTGGATCCGTTTTTAGATAAAATTGAATGTGTTTTGTACTTAAGGGAACGAGCTGGACGTTTCTCTAACAACAAAGTAACACATGCAAAAAAACAAACAGTTATTTCTGCCGCGAATAGCAGCCACCAAACAACACTATTTAGCAGCTTTTAATTATTTCTTTCGCGAAAATAGGCCCAGTTAAACGAACTCCACTTGTAGAAAAGTCTAGATGGAATCCACAATTTGACCATCATATTTTTTGTAACTGCGATAGTTTTTACGAATTTTCCCGTTTACCACTGATATGAATAGAACAACCTTACCAATTTTGAACGCTCTGATTTGAACACTCTGAAAATTAATCAGAATATTATAATCCTCAAGAGTGACAAGGGAAATTGTTGTGTCATTCAAAATCGGGATGATTATATATTTGAATTAGAAACTCAATTAAATAATGCAAATCACTACCGCGAACTAGACTAAAGAAAAGAAAAAAAACCGCGTCCCCGCCTAACGTTTTCCTTTCTGTATCATGTGGAGGTTCTAGGTGTCGTACCTGCGAATACATACATGTTCCTCATCAATTCGAAAACAAGAAAAACGGTAAAATTTTCCAACTTACAGACGTTCTTTCATGCATCGATAAAAACATCATAAACCTAATTTCCTGTAAAATATGTGATGCATAATATGTTGGCGGAACCCAAAACGCGTTGCGTACTCATCTAAGCGGTCATCGCTTTGACATTCGTCATAAAAAAGAGAGACCAGTCGCGAATCATTTCAATTCAACCAATCAAGGTCTTGTTATGTCCATAGAAAAGGTTTCTGTATCTACAACGATCAAACCAAAAACCACGCGATTGCAAAGGGAGAGTTTCTGGATAGACCAATTACAAACAGTTGTACCTAAATATACAGCATGACAATCAAATTATACCTTTCGTTGCCACCTACAATTCTACAGCTTAGATTGTCAAACGCTTTTATATAGAACTTCAGGACGAATTGTCTAACATCTATACTAAACGTTTGGTGACTGCTTACAAAGTGAATAAAAATCTGAGTAATGTTCTTGTCCATGGTAGATTAGATCCCATATCATAAACTCCCTAAAACTATCGCTTTGCATGTCTGAATTATTTGTTTATCTCTGCAGGTACGACTTTTTGACTGCTCACTGACGATATGCTGGAACACATGAGCGGCCTTTTGAAACTGGTAGTATGAATAGGGGACAATGTTGGGTTTGAGATTCTAAATGCGGAATCGCAGTGGACCGTAAATGGTCGGTCTGGTGAGATTCTCTCATAGATTTTTTTTCTAAATATGACGAGGTGCATTTTTGGGCAGAACCGTATAAAAAAACATCTTGTGAAATTTATTAGAAATGAAGTTGGAGTGCAAATGCCTTCCCTATAGTCTACCCCCAGTCGCTAGAACGGAACTAAAACGTGATCTTGATTATTTATTTGTTAAAAAATAGAAAAGTGTTGTTCTTATTATCCATGCATTTCGTCCTTATTAATAGTTATTTGACATAGTCTCTTTTCCCCTGATATGTAAAATGAATATTTTATAGCATATAATACACGAGTAATACAATAGAATTTTATAGAATCAATTTAATCTGAACATTTCAATACCAGTTCTGTTTTATTAGAAATGTATTCTAAGCAAATCAGGCATGCAACAAAGAATCGTTTACTAATATCCAGGTCAAAACTTACATTCACTGTCAACACGATTGGAGGATGCAAAAGTCGATCATTTATATGTGCATGATTATCGGTAGGCCAATCACTAAGTTCGATCAGTTTAAAAAGAAACGACGAGCATGCCCTGCCTAATAAGCAGCCGAGACTCTAAACGTAAAGCTATCGGCAAAAACTCCAAAAGAAAAATAAACTGAATGTCAGCTATATTAGATGTCGGAGTGAAGTGATGGAGAAAATAGAGAGATGGTATTGTGTGTTTAAACATTGCATGTTATATGACGTGTTTAGTGACAAGCGGATGAAATGCTGGTAAAATAAAAGATTAATGTTAGAAGAACGTGTATCTATTATTTCAACTTCCATCTTTGACATTCTAGCTAATTTAACCATGTTTATTTCATCAACACATTGGTGAGCTAACACGCGACTAACAATTCTAAATATACCCACTTTATATTAATCTTAATAATCTTAATAATATCGAATAATTAAGCTAAATAATATATGACTTATGATTATCCATTGCTATACGTTGTAGTGGTTATTACATTTTCTGTTGGACGGGAAACAATTGTTTTCCAGAAAAAAATCGATACCTTTAATAACTAAAGATGTGGAAAGGCGTTCATAAATGTCTTCTAGAAACGTCTACAACCATGTTTACTCTTTTCGAAACGCCTGATTGTCTTATCGTTAGAGGAGTCCAATACTATACTAACTTTACTTATTTACGGAATTGTCTTGCTTGTACGCATTTTTATTACCAACGTCTCATCTTTACAGTCTCGATCTTTGTGTTTCACATGATGCATCCGCAACAATTGAAATCTGATGGCTTCTGAAGACTAATTTTATTGCATTAGTGAATTATAGGAAAGCCAAAGAATTAATTACGTTTCAACTAGTGAAACGAAAACTATCTAAAATATTTAAAATGGAGAGGACCTTATTAGAATGTTTTGTTTTTTTTTTTTGTCAATTATTATGCATTTCAAAATTGGGTGAAAATACTAAAATATACTAAATTTACTATGGGCATAAAACTAAATTTAGTAATTTGGGAGGATATAGAAATCCATTATACTGGTCAAAACAAATTGTGAAATTGGCAACTACATGTACTAGATAATGAACGAAATGAAACTTGATAAATTTGATTAATTTGTGAAAATGAAATAAAGTGAAACCCAACCATGTTTGATAATAACTGTATGGTATTAATGAAGAGTTAATAAAAGAAGATAGAAATGTTGGTATTAAGCCAATAATGAATCGTGTAATTATCATCAATGTCAATATAAGTAGTATTCTTTATAACTATATTATGTTATATATTTTCTTCCGAACAAACTTAAAATTATACAGCCAAAACTGTACTTTTTAAATTTTAACAAAAAAATATTTTGCTTTTTATGTTCTGTTATAATATTTTTATATAGCTCTACATTATTCATGTAATGAGCGCAGTGAACATTTAACGACTTAACCTCATTTCATATCAATATCCTAGATTAAAAATCAAACGAAAATGTATTTTGGTCTTTTTAGAAAATATATTTTGTCCTGATGGGAGAAAAAAGACACGCCTATAGCAACTGACATAATAATTTCATGCGTCCAAAAATCAAATCGGAACAAGTTCAACTCAAGTATGGCGCATCTGCATGGAATTCATCAATATCTTTGGAGAAAGTAGCCAATTTCTGCGTTTTAAGTTCAGTCTGCAATGGCTATTGCAACGAAAAAAAAATTTAACGCTCTATTTCAGTTGTATAATTCCGTTTTCAAGCCATTTATAGTCTTCAAAAGATTTCCGTAATACAGAACAGTGATTTTAGAAATGATGAAATTTTTAAGAGCGACTAAGAACAAAGTGACAGGATAGGAAATATATTTTAAATAATATTTTTCATATCACTAAGTAAATGTGAAAGAATATTTTGACTTGTTATTTTCCATCATTTTATTCTACTGTTGGGTTATATTGAATGCTAGTGGAAGATTCATGTATGTTATGCCCTTAAAATTTAAAAAAAACCCATATACCTCATGCCGTTATATGGAAGGCAAGTGTAAAGAAGGAAAAACTGCAAGTTGCAACGTACAGCAAAGTGGGTTTATAACACCTTTATTGTGCCCATAATCTAGCTACTCAGGTAGTTCAGCTGTGTCACACGCTGTGTATAACGGGGTATTAGTACAGGATGCACCGTGCCGTAAAGTGCGCTACCGGATTTAGGGGATCGTTGACAAAGGGGGCCGATTCAGGTTATTACTGTGTTAATTAGTTTGTATATTACTATACAGGAGTTATTATTACATGTTGTATACAGGTGCTGCCTATCTATAGTCCTCTACTCTCATAAACAATAAAATATTGTTAACTGTTTATCACCAAATCCAATTAATTCCTCTATTGGCATCAGTACTCGCTAAATGACAAAATATTGTTTCCATAGTTCAATAAAGAATCAGCATAATTTATGACAGGAAACGAAGGCTGGACTGTTAAAGACTTATTGACCAATGAAAATTGAGTATTAGGCCTGCTGGAAACCTTGTCGGTATTTTCTAAAGAATTCCGAGTGTTTATTAACGGTAGAATTAGAGCTCAGTCATATTAGAATTTCATCATGAATCGTGAAGTAGTCAACTCTCATCTTAACTTGACTCCTAATTCTTTAGTTTCTTCTAATATCGGTAAGTGAAAGAGTTTTATTTAATTTCTGAGAGATTTGGCGACATTGGCAGTCAGCTAACGTACAAATTGAGCCTAATATGCCTGATTTTGGTTTATTATCTTGTAGCGATCTGATAGGATCGAGGCTTGATTTAATTCATTTCGGGCAAAATTAAATCTGCACGTACCAATTCTGTGTTGGATTGTTAATGAATAATAACATGATATATAAGATAGCAGGTTTCAAGATGTCATTCTTCATTTTGTTGTTACTGATTATAAACTTATTGTATATAATATCATTGTCTGTCTGATTTATATCTTATCTATTCTAACAATGTGAGAGGCAATTTTCTCCAACTAATTTACTTTCAGAATTAATTTACAAGATTCAATATGAATAAATTGTTTATAATTTTTTTTTAATTTTGATGGAAATACTCGAAATTTCAAGAAACATAATTTATTAAATTCTGAAAACCTTTTATTATTTTTAAATTCATATAATTTTTTTTTTCAACTAAAGGAAACCGATCAACTGTATCTCCAAATACATTGAAAGATTTGTCGGACAAAGAGAGAAATATTCTAGATGATTCGGATCCCTCATCTTCAGACTTGGACAAACCATCCAAGCAGAAACGTCACCGGACCAGATTTACCCCTGCCCAGCTGAATGAATTGGAAAGGAGTTTTGCCAAGACACACTATCCTGATATATTTATGCGTGAAGAAATGGCATTAAGGATCGGTTTAACAGAATCCCGAGTACAGGTAATTCATCTTTTTTACTTTAAAAATATTGAATTAAATTTTCAACTATTCTGATTTTAAAATGAAATTTTTGACACATATCCTGTCAAATTTTTATTAAGAATTTTCTCATTTTCTCATTTTCTAAATTACATGTTTATTATTTTGATCAAGATTAAATTATCAAGTGATCCAAATGAAGGATTTATAATTTCCACATCATTAACTTAAATTTGTAGAATGTACCGTTTTATCTACTTCGTCTTCTAAAAGCTGAGTGAAACAGAATTTTCTGGTGTGAAAATCTGAGTTTTTAAAAGTTATAACAAGTTGGAAAACAAAGACTTCACTTCAAAATATTAATATATATTTTTATATTATTGACTATTGATATTAATTTCTGTTTTCTGAATTAAATCAAAGCGGGGTCCTATCAATAGACCATAATTTCCCTTTAAAATTTCATAAACGGCAGATACGATAAAAGATTTTATTTTCGGTTCAGGTCATTTCTTTGAAAAAAAATAAATTATCTGTCAACATTATCTGACTAGAAACATATAGTTGTATATGTTTCATTTCTCATTTGGAATTTCCAATTGATGATATAAGAAAAATATTATCTTAGTTTCAAAACCATATTTTCATCAAACTTATAAAATGTTTGTCAAAATATTTCTTTCAAATTAGTTTACTTTAGTTGTTTAACATACAAATTAAAAAAATGAAATTTTATGCTATAGCTTCGTTTCGTAAATATTATTATTATATAAAGATTTATTTTAAATATTAGGCTGTTTGTATTATTCATTTTAGAAATTTTTATGTACTTTGCATAAGGCAATAAAACAATACAATTCAAACAAAATCCAGCATAAGTTAAATTATTTCGAAGATAAGCAAAGAAGAAAAGTGAAAGAAAAATAATTAACAAATACTCTACAAATTAAAGCACTTGTATTTATTCAATTGTACTTAGAGATCAGTTTTTCTTAAGCTTTAATGAAATTTTGTCAACATTTCTGAAATAATGTTTTTACTAGTTTCTTTCCATAAAGCATACGTACCGATTATTTTGGCGCTTTTAACTTAATTTAATTAAATCTAAAAGTTATTTAAAAAATTTTTCCAATAAAAAGTAATCAGACTTGTCAATGAAATTCAATTATTTGGATAATTTCAAACAAATGTTTAGCGTCTGTAAGGGCGCCCCGCTAGTCAAAATATGGGAAGGAAACACACGCGAATCTCTGGATATCGGTTAGCGTGTTATTATATTTTCATGGAAAATGCGTTGAAGATTCCGTTTTGTCACCTTTATAATGAACATATTAACCACGCTGGGCGGCAATTCTCGTTTCCGACTATCAGGGGATATCACACTGCAACGAAATCGGGAAAATAAGACAGCGATGAGGGCTTATATATTCCCGTATTGCGTGCGAATTTGCTCGAGTCTCGCGCGCTTGTCAACGTAGCCTGCTTGCTGTAGTCTCTAGGGTGACACTCAAATGACTGAAGAAGGCCGAGATTGTTAGAGGAGTAATTTATACTAACTAGTTATTTCCATGCCTCGCACCACCATCCCGAATCCCTCCACTATTTGGAAACTAATAGCAATAATGGGAATTAATTTCTAATGAAATGACTCCAGTTTCTTGGTGTCAATTTGTAGAATTTCTCCCTTTTCTAGCCGACTAACACGCGATATGAAAAAGTAGCTCAACTATTTAGTGAATAATGAAAATACGAGACGAAATAATTTTTCTGTTAGAGATCACTGCCTTAAGAGTAAATAATCTTCTATTTTTTAACATAAAGAAAATACTTTGGCCAACGAAAGTCATCCTCAGCCCGAATTGAAATATTTGATTTTTCAAATAATTCCACATATATTTATAATAAAAATGTTAAATACACGTGTTTTTACACCAAACACGCGAAGAAAAAATATTCCTTTTTAAACATTTAAAATAAAATTCGGTTTTCGATTTGTTAAATGGGTTTCGGATTTTGGTTTCTTAAAAATGGTCCCCTTTTCATCATTTCTATTGTGCTATTCTTAATTCAAAGATTTGGTTATCAAGTTTTGGACATTTCTGTTTGATTACGACCATTTATTATTTTTGAAATTTTCATTATGATTAGATTTTCTAAATTTTCAATGTTATTTGAACTGGGTGGACAATTATCTGCTTTAAATGTGACAAGCTTATTAACACTTTCACAAAAAAAACCAATTCATATATATTATATTAATAATTGATAATTGAGAAAGTACTTCATACATAAATCTTTATAGGAACTCAAATTTGAAATTTGTATTAGAGAAATCTATTTTGCTGTCATCAGTTAAATTTGAACATTTTTATAAACATAAAATATTGATGAACTTCATAATATGCTAATTTTAATATTATCTTTTGAATAAAAAATATTTCAAATTATCATTGTAAAGCCTATAATAATGAATTATTTACAATGTTAAAATTGTGCTCAATACAACAATTGTCTGAAAATCGCGAAACGGGAAACTCTGTATAACAACATGATTCAAGTTTGTTTTAAATTTCTTAAGTAAAGCCTATAATTTTATGCAGATAAACATATAATATATTTTTTAATTTGTAACATCATACAAAGGTTTTGTTTTTAATAAACAGACTATATTACACGTAAAACAATCAAATGAATATTATGAGACTGATTTATTAAACTAATTGAAGTAAACAGATTATTAAGGAAGCAAAGGGCTGACTAAGTAGCATAATGGACACAAATAAAGTTAATTACAACTTAACTGTACGCCATTCAAATATTCAATGTCAGTAGTTAATTGTCCGTGTCGACCGCCATAAAATTTGATTCTCTCGTGCCCTATCATTTACTTGTATTGACAGTTCCTTATTATTATCTTAACCCTGACTAAACCAGCGCACGTGTTCATCACGCTAATAGTTCTTAACCAAGGACAGTATTTCTGATTGACACAATGTGGAGAATATTTTGTTAATGACAATCTAATTAAACATGATAACAACTAGAATATTGTAAATAGCGTTAATGAACATTTTTTTTAGTAAATAACTTGTAAAAATGCTATTTTATCGATAGTCTTTCTGAAATTCAATTTTTTTTTATTTTTAGGTTTGGTTTCAAAACCGTAGAGCCAAATGGAAGAAACGAAAGAAGGCCACCAATGTTTTCAGAACTCCTGGGGCGCTTCTACCCTCAACTGGATTCGGTCCATTTGGAACAATGGGCGAGGCGTTCTGTACTTTCCCGGGTACGGATCCAAGATGGGCGAGCATGCAGCAATTTGGCTCACCGATGAATGCCAATGTCAATCCGTTGACCCTATCAGCAAGCTTACCGCGCCAAGGTTTTGCTCAATCACTGTCGTCACAAGTACCTGTTGGTTCCCTTGGCAACAGCTCGGTATCACTTAGCAACGGTATTTCAGTCTCTAACGGCAGTCCGGCCATATATAATCCTAGTTATGGTGTGACGTCGACATGCTCCCCACCCTTGACTGCTAACTCCCCATCCCCAACATTTACTACTTCACAAATGTCTTGTGGGATGCAGGAAATGGATGATGTATGGAGAGGAACGAGTATTGCTGCTCTAAGACGAAAGGCTCTGGAACATTCCGCCTGTTTAACAGGATTTCGTTAAAACGAGAAATAAACATCAACAAAGTGTATAAAAGTGCTGTTTAGACTTTATAAAAGTGTTATTATATTTTTAGTCTAGTCAATTTTTTTTTTCAACATATTGTTTTATTTGATATTCTTTATTTTTACCGCCATATTTCATCAAAGTATTCATTTTCATATCTCAAGTAGTATCCCATGCCAACACATCAATTATTTAATTACAACTTTATTTATCACGTCACTATAGGCGTATGTGCATACGAAAAATTCAATGTTATTAACTTGTTTGATTTAGCGTAGTGCAATATAAATGCATGTCATAATGCATTCAAAAAATACATGAAACGAAAAATCGTTAAAAATATAATTTTGTTTCTAATCCGCATTTAATATTGCTCGGATTATTAGAAATAATACTATGAATTGTATATTAATAATTAATGTATATCTGTTGTATATAAATTATTATTTAATTGTGTATCTAGTCAATATTGTAACTTTTTTCTTTGAAAATTACGAAAATTGTATTCCATAGTTGAACTTATTAAACTAAAAGATGTGAACTTGTTTTTTTCTTGAGAAAAATCTACAAGAAGGAAATAAAAACTGTCTTATCCCGGCAATTAAAAGTTCTTTTTTTAACAGTTTTTTTTCTTTAATTTTTATAAGGAAACATATTTCCATCTCGACATCCGTCCCCTTTCGTTCGGCTGAACGTTGAGATTTCCTTTTAAACGATCTAGAATCAAGTTTTCCAATGGAGTTATTTTGGTATATGTAAAAATGTATCTGAAATGAAGATCCAGTTCGCCGAATATTAACACCCTATTGAGTCTACAGTGTGTGTGTTTCCAAAAATTTAAAACGACGATCAAGATCAAAAAATGAAGTTAGACAGTTTGGGATTATTTCGAAAATAATTTCCGTTGATTGCCACTGTAATCTCGAACCCCATTATCCTTAACTATGCGGACGAATGATTTAAAAGGAACTACTTAGTCTCACTGACGACACTCGTTGCCCTAATTAGAAGAAAAACTGTTCGAGTTGATGTGGGTCATTGTGATTTCTCGACAAATTTTAAATTTACTATGCGGCTGTCAGCCTGCAAATTCTGGAGTAAGAACTGATATAGATGGGTAACAATATTTATATTCATCACGACACGATTCAACACGAATAGGATTGAATGTGGATGTTTGATTTCATCATTGATCGCCTTGTTTAACTAAACGGGGTTATAATACGAATACATTTTGATATTTTTACAATGTTGACTATAAAAATATGACAGCTATCCTACATTTTGTCATCGGGTTCTACATGACACGCTTTAAGACAAAAACACGGGTCGTCTTGTAAGGTATACAGCACGTACTAATTGTTAATCATTTGTTGTTGAAACCTTTAGAATAATATAATTTGGTGTTTATTTTGCTAAAATTCATACATTAGTTTACAAACATCAACCAAAATAAAAAGCAGCGTAAATGTGTCCGTAAAATTAACTATACTCTGACTCTGATATTTTACAGAATCGAATTTTTCTAATCTTTTCTTATTGTTAGATTGTCTTTTGGTTGTTGAAAATGTCAACCTAATATATGGAAAAAAATATTATTTGTAAATATGAATTTACAGAGGGATATTTTCAGTCCAAAAAGTGGGTCATTTTCTGGGCTGTAAGTCTGTTTATTTCAAATGTAAAATCATTTATATCTATGGACCCGAAGACAAATGGAATGCAATATTTTTGGTTTCAACTTCCAGATAAGATTAGGGACACATTTCTCTAGATTTTGGTCTACATCTTCATGAAATATTTTTCAATTTGCTTAAAAAATAGAAGGTTGATGTGTTCTAATGATTGTGAAATGTAGCAATATGCCATAATTATTTTGTAATGAGCTTAATCGGACACTTAATAAAGATCATCAGGTCTCACACTTTCCATAAGGTAGGTAACTCTATATGTGTCTCTTTACAGCCGATCGTCGCCAAAACTGCTAAATGCCAATATCTGACGGGCAACGCCATGCAGGGTGCAATGAGGGAAATTTTGCCAGGACAGCGGCATTAGCCTACTCTTTTTCGATTTCCAACTGTCGAGGGAAAATTTCAATGGTTATGTTTCCACAATAGGGAAATATACATAATGGGTAACTTACAATATTCCTTATAAAATCGATTTGGCTTGAAAATATTTACACGAAAAATTCTATTTTAGTCAGTGAGTAAACAAGGAATCCTCTGAATACCCAAGTTTATATACTTCCTCACAATCTTCAAACTCAAGTTCCTTTAATTATTTACTACAAACTTCAATTAATCGAATAATAAGCGTGATTTGAACAAGAAAAATAAGAAAACCCATCGTTAATTAACACGACGTTACATATATTTCATTTATACCAAACAAATTTTTAAAAAAACTGTAAATAAAAGATCGCCAGCGGAATATACGACATTCATACTTATTTATACTTAATCATACCATCCTTAAAAGATAGTGGTTCATAGTTCATTGTTTAATAATCATGTTTAACATTTATTTTTTCTAAATATTGGCTGAAGACAAAATAAATTAGATTTGAAACCGCACATATGATAATGTAAACAAAAAGAGCATGTTTCATACACATCTTTTAAAACTATGAACACTAGAATGTTTAAGAGAAAATGGAACCTGGCGTCCACGTTAAACGTCCACAAAAAGGTAGAAAACTCCAAGAAATCAAACATCTTGATTCTATGAATTTATGGTTATCCATAGTCCTTTGTGATGATTGGTTGCATAATATAAAGACCTATATTTAAGAAATTTAAATCTAGAATTCCATTGAACCGGGTTTATTTTTGACATTTGTGCGTTAATTAGATTTTATATTTAATAATCCATTCCCACGTGCCGATGAAAGTGAATTATGATCTATCATTGTTGGTATTGGCTAAACAGTTTCTAGTATTCTATCAGTCATCTATTATATTCTTACATGACATTAGTCCTATTTCAAACTGTCTCTTATACAGTATAATACTCACAGGTTCTAATATCCTGATCTATTGTCATTCTTATTCAACGAAATGAATGCCTAGTTTAATTAATGACATCCGCTCTTCACATTTCCATTCAGCCCAACATATTGATATTGGACTCAATGTCGTAATAATCACGCTGTAGTTTGTTCATGTTGAATTGTTTGCAGTGAAATCAGTTCCAAATTTAACATATAATTGGCAATAAACCGTGTAACGTATTAACCTTACTACTATGTTGCTGTTTTAATTTGGTTGCTTTCTAACACGTAACGCTTTGCGGTCTCTTTGTAACGGTGTTAATAATAGGAACTTGTCAATGATAATGAATAATAATTGAAGTTATACGGAAATATGGTTCAGTCGATGAAAAACTTCCCGATCTAAACCGGAAGTGAAATGGCGTTAACTGTTAAGCTGCAGCGATCTGACTACAATATGCTGTAATCTCTGAGCGCAGTGTGAAATGCAGAGAAATAAAACATGACTGTTAATAATATGCTATGTATACCCTTCATATGGCATTAGACCGAAACATCTGTATCTATTCCAGCCTCTAATAGCAATTAGGACAGAAAAAGGCCCTGTTAAATGGGGATATTCCGCATCTCCGCAGATGCTGGGTTTAAACCTATTTACATATCTGGGACAGGCAAAACCCAAATATATGTGGAAAGATGAATGTTTTTATAGTTCTTTAATACCCTCATTTTATCCCTAAACCATATTTTCACATCTATGTTTCCATAAATTTTTTTAAACGAAACTGAACTCGCAACGGTTATTTAAAACTGTGTGGTCACGTGATACTAACAAAATGAAAGTTACGGTGATGCCCAACACTAATTTACAATCATTATATAGGTAATTTGATATTACATTAGAAAATACAGCTTGCCAGGCAAGGTAATATACCCCCACTGGCAGCTTTGATTTTAAATAAAAATATTTGGCAGTACAGTAAAAATTACCAGTATGAAATATTCAACCTTCAGTCATACACTTCTTTTGAGGCGATACTGAATAATATTACCATGTTCCGCCAATCTTCATTGGAATTGAGCCTTCTAGAGTGTTTACAGGCTAAAGCTTGAACACGTTTTTAAGAACAAGGGCAATAACTCAAACTAAATATTTTTCGATTTTTCTGATTTTCAATAAGGATCATTCTTGGGTGATAACAAACACTCACACCAAATTTTGTTGACCAAATCTGTCAACAATTGAACCTTCTAGAGTGTTTACAAGCTCAAATTGAAAGCGTTTTCGAGAACAAGGGAAATAACTCATACTAAATATTTTCCGATTTTTCTGGTTTTCCATAGGGTTCATCCTTGGATAATAACCAACACTCACACCAAGTTGCATCAAAATCCGTCAAGAATTGCTCCTTCTAGAGTATTACGAGTATTTCAAGAACAAGTGCAATAACACATACTAAATAATTTTTCTGATTTTCAATAAGATTCATCCTTGGGTGATTACAAACAATCATACAAAGTTTCGACGAAATCAGTCAAGAATTGTGCCTTCTAAAGTGTTTACGAGCAATTGTGGATGGCCGGACAGACCAACGGACCGACGGATGGAAATGGGTGACGGCAATATACGCCCCCTTATTTCATGTGGGCGTATGAAAACGCATCTTCGGTGCTGTGGAAAATCCCCATTTTGTCTTTATTCTGACAACTGTCCAAATATCCATCACAGATTGGAATATAGGCAGGTGTTTCAGACTAATATGGCATCTTATCACAAATCACACAAACATGTCTATACAAAAACATGATGCCATGGTTACAAAATTGTTCCCAAGGTATTTATTAAATAAATCACACTTTTCTTTCAAGTGAGAACAAAAGATCAAGCAAGCATCCTCCCTAATCGGTTTCGCGAAGAACGACGCAAACATGTAATAATACTAAGTTACTTAAAGATTTAGTCGAGCAATTTTTTTTGCACGTAATGAATTGTACTTTTAGATAGAAATAAATAGAAATTGAAACAAACATTACCATTTATACGTACCGAATATAGCCTGTATGATTTCCTTTAGATGAACTCATCCCCTGTTTTAGCAGAATAAACCTAGAATATATTATATTGTTCTCGCTATATTATATTCTCCTTAAATGAATATATTATATTCTTCTTAAATAAACGTCGATATATTATATTCTCCTTGGATTAACCTCG